AATTTTAAAAACATTTATATCGTCGCTGACGTATGCGCGTGCTGATCGCGATTTCAAATAACACGAATTCAAGGTCTAGGTTGCGACTCTGGCCAAAAATATCCGATCGATGTTTTGCGTTGAAGATGCTAAGCGGAATTTTGGTCTGCTTTTTTTATACTGCTCTTGGGAAAAACATTTTTCGAAACATCTTGGATAACAGAATATGCTTAAATGAAACGTTAAATTGAATGAAATTTTATTTTTCGAAATGTGGTCCATATTAATTCGTAAATATGTGCCGAAGAATAGTCCCAGGCCATTGATTCGAATATTTATCATGTCAAGTGCATCTTAACTTTGATATTTTCTATATTTGAAGTACGATTATAATATTTTCTTTATTTTCTAGGTAAAATCAAATCTGATCCTTTTTTAACAACTCTGTTTTTAAATCTTATGGAATATCCGGGGGCAGGGGCGTAGCCACTAACTATATAGCGGGGCGTAAACTGAAGTTTAAATGTACAAAGACAACAAAGACAACTTTAAAATAACAATAATATATCTTAGAAGTGTTAAGTTTTTCAATTTAGTTTAATTTGATTTGAGACGGAACGTATTCCGAAATTTTTCAATGAAGTTTTGTAGTATCTTCTTTATAGTAGTCACATGAACGGGTTCTAAGTTGGAAAATTCTTCCGGTCAGTATTTCATCTTACATGTATTTCGAATTTGTATTAGCCAGTGTTAGAGAAAATTGCCACGCTGTGATAATAATCCTCTGATTTTGGTTGATTCTGCTTTGCTCGATGGTAGACACTGATTTGAGATTCAGACAAAATATAAGTCACAATTGAATACTTTAAACTTAAGACCTTAAGTAATAGTTAAGCATTTATTCAATATAAAATTAAACTAAAGATTTTATCCATGACCGCTTTGTTTATATAACTAAAACTTACATTCAGAAAATTAAAAATACGTCTTGTCAATAGTTATTTGGATAATCCACATTACATCATATTTTTCACAAAATCATGTATCAATATGGAAAATAGATGCACACTTCACTGGGATGTTTTGTGCTATAAACTTTACCAACATAAATAAAAATCAAATCATAATTTACAGTTAGGTGTGCATCACATCGGTTTAATGCAAGCCAGAAACAACTAATAATAAGTTTTATATTTAAATCTTTATATGTTGGATAAGAAAATATATTTAATAGCTGCTTTAAAACAAAAAAGCACCTTAAGTCCAATGGTCTATTGGTCTTGTAGTTTTTTCCATATTTTGTGCTTTTCTTTTAACAAATCGTTTTTTTTTCGTCAATGGTGTATTTGGGAGACAGTTTCATGGTTGAGTATGAGTAACGGATTTTGTTAGACTTAGCCTTCTTTATTGTCGAGTTTTACGTGTTTTAAGTGTCTTAACATTGATTTGAATTGAGTTGACTTGAAGTTCTTCCTGTTCAATATTTGAAGAAATTCACACTTTTAAAAGTCACGGTCTAGTTATTTGTATTTCTTTAGAGTTCTTACGACTTAGGCTGAGTCTACACCGCAGGAAGTTTCTTTAAGACTGATTCCGATTCTGATTTTACACGGACAGTTTAAACGCTACTGTTTTGCACCTAGTCAGTGCTATCAGTTACAGAAAAAAATCAAACCCGAACTTGAACTTATGATTTGCGCTTAAAAAACAAATTGTTGTTTCGATATTGGGAAAGCCATGTAAGAGTACTGGAATTATTTCCGATGTCACCAACTAGCTACAAAACAGTCAGTTTTCCACCGCTCCCGAAGAATCAGTCTAAAAGTGCGGTAAGACGCCATCACATTGCGGATCACACCTTCCAACGGCTCCTGAAGCACAAGCTGTATCGAAATTGAACATAAATGTTTTTGGGAGTCATTTTGATTACCCTACTACCCCTAATAGTTTAATGTAATAAATGTAAAACACCCTACAAATAAAAGTTATCAAGAAAGCCTTGAACCCTAGAACTAGCAAAACCCGGCCATATTAATGTAAAGGCGAGAAAAAAACATGAAATAAAAAAATCGGTTTTTAAGCACGCGTATCATTATTATTTCATTAACATGCAAAATAGACAGGAAAACCTCGACAAAAGTGTCGCGTTCTTGTTTACATAATGTGCCGGACATTTACTATATCATACCAAGATAGTTTAATGGCCGTAATTGTTATTTTAAACTTGCGAAACAACAAAACGCCATAATAAAACGCGAGGTCAGCGGACTAGGGGCATTTTTTTTAATTCCCTGTCAACGGGCACAAGATTTTTTTGTGGTGTGGTGTACCAATCAGTTCATGGATATTAAAACTGAGTAAATTGAAAATGTATCAACTGAACATAGGTGCCCAGAAAAATAAACACATTAGTAGCAGTAGTAGAACACATATAGAACACAAAATTAACATAAATTTTCTTTCTATCTATAGACCTTCTGCGCCACTGAAAATCGGTTCTTGAATAACTTTTAGAAGATATTATAAAAATTTAGTATGATGGACGCTACTGTTGTGTCCAAAACTTACCCATTTCAGTTATACTGTAATTCAGTATAATAATTTAGTTACCACGCGAATTAACTGAAAGACGGATTAACTTAATGCTGTTATTAAAAAACTAATAATGTAATGTTCCCGTCGAACAATAGTGATACATACTGGACTTCATATTTCAATGTATGAAAAACAATATACAAGAATTTTAATCCTTAAGTTCACATATTTATAGCAGGCCAAGCAGTTTATAGTTGAAATTATAAGTATTTAGTTTTATATAAATATAATAAATCAATTTTTATAAGTGGCCCAATATTAAGTATCAAACACATTAATTAAGGAATTTTTCAACATCACATTAAACTTAAAACACGATTCGAGAACAAAACAAACGTCTGCTGATCGTGGAAAATTACTATATCTATATAATTCACTCCTAAAAAACACTATTGTGGATAATACTATTTGTCCTTAGATTTCACTAAGGCGACGAAGTTGCACACAGATATTTAATTAAATTAAATATTCCACTGCGTCCGACATAGACGCTTGCTGCTGCATGTCGCAAGGAGAAAATCTTCGACAACAACATGACAAAAGCGAACTATTTATTGTCCCTCTCGTTGATTCTAGAAGTATCGGCATGTCTTTGTTACGCTGGATGTTTGACCTATAAGCTCATAGGCATTTTTCGTTATCTGTATAGTTTATTTGTGCATATTCAAGTCTAGATAATCAAAAACATAAGCCACATATTCATAAAAATGCACGTGTGTGTGTGTGTCGAGGTGTGTGTTTACTAGCAAAAACTCACCTTATAATAATACGGAAACAACTCTACACAAAATCAAGTAATCCTTGCAAGGTTGTTGGGGCAAACTGCATTACAAAACACCCAGTCAAATGGAACTGGTACAAGCGGATTAACGCATATTCTTTATAGTGAAGGGCTTGTCAAAGTATATCAAAATATTTCCCCACATTTGAAAAAAACGGACCCCTACAAAGATTAACATAAACTAAGGAAGATAGATACACAACATATCTAAACCAAAATAAGATAATGAATGTAAGAACTGCATGGAAAAACAAACTATTTAATCAATTTAAAGTACTTGTAAGAGGATTAAATTATCGGCTGGTTGCAGTTGTCTTTAATTGAAAAATTTCTTGCCAGATTCATTAAGTTTCGACAATCAACATGTAAACTTCTACTATCATTCTTTTTACGTCCTACAAATTTGCTTTACATCACTTGAGACTCAAAAAAGCTTTAAAGCTTTACATTTGTAAGACACTACAATTCATAAAAAAATATATATTTTTAAAGTTATAGTATATATTTTCAATTTTAATTCTGCAGAACATTAATAAATAAAAGAGATATATTTCTAATTGCTTTCATTTCATCATATCTTGTGCGAAAAAATATGTACTATATAATAAATATATAATGCAAATATTTATTTATTTAATTGAAATTTTACCCATTTATACCGCAGTGGCATTTCCTAATCCTATGAAAAGTCAGTATGAAGGAAGATATTGAAAAAATTGCAAGTCTCTTACAAATTATAAGTAAAATTGTATGTGAATTAACCTAATATTTTGATAAGTAAACCAGAATTTAGTGGTGGCAACTAACTATTTAATTACAGTCGTTCAAAGTGAGTTAAATCAACTTTGCTAGAACACCAAACATTCTTCTTCAGTATGCAATCATATTTTTTATTTGAAAAAAACTTGCTCGATATAAAAATAACAATGAAATTACATCTTGAGGAACATTTCAGCATGATCCTCAATATTTGTCTGAGAAGGGCACGTTGGGGATTAATACATAATAATTAGATTAGAATACTTGATTTGCCGAAAAACGAACCACGATCGCATTAAAAATATTAAAATATTTTTAGAAATGGCCGCTAAAATAATGCAATAAATCTCAAAATGGTTTTCAAAACTCAGATTTTAGTTGAAGTAAGACTTTCCTCTCTTTTTCTTTATAGCTCTTGCAGATTTCGAGATATTTAGATCAAAATCAAAGCATATGTTATATTTTAGTGCTCAGATTCAGTGGTTTCCGATCTGTTCCAAAACTGTTGCAAGGGGGACATGTTTCCAAAATATCATTTTGTTTTAATATTTTGGTTTTTATACATTTAAAAATATTTTTTCTTATAATAAATATTTATTTTTATCCATATTTTAAATATAATAAATAAATTATAACATTAATGATGAAATTAGATCGTTAGAAAAATTAAGGGGGTGAACAATTTTTTTTTAAAGGGGGACACAGTTACAAAAAGGTTGAAAATCACTGGCTTACATTATCCACCGATTAAAATATATTAGGGAGGTTATTTATTAGGGATCATCCCATTTCTCCAACAACTTTTTTACGGTGACCAGCTCTAAAATACAAAATGAGTTTGCGGTTTTCTCAGGAAACGTTTAAGAACGTATGCCAAAAAACTTACCTAAATCCGGAATGGAGCTGGACGGCTCCTCCAACTTGTCGACAATCTTCACCTTCGGGGGCGGGGGTGGTGGCGGGGGCCTCATCGACGTCGTGGGCGACGACGTCGACGAAGATACGACCGCTCCCGAAGGAACACGGAACTCCTTATTTTCTCCTTTGAACACTATGGTTGGGGTTTGCATTGTGATTAGCTGGTTGCTTTGGGTCGAACAAGAACAATCGAAGTTTTCGCTCGCCCAAAATATATTTTAATTCAGTCCGGCCGGTACGCACCTGAACTCGAACCGAAAACAAGTGCGCGATAGCTTTTAGTGAGAAGGTCACGGCTCTTATCACAGTCCGACACCGGATAATAACAAAATAAACTCGTTACGGGCTGACGAAATATTAATTTCAGTCGTTCTTCTAACCTAACTTTTTTTCTTTTTTGCGCTTAACGACACTAATAGAGTTACGCTTCGGTGCGCCACCGAAAGTTCACCACGATAATAGAGTCATTAAAAAGGGGCGAGCCGCGTGAAACGGCCAGTCATCACCAAAACCCATCAATCATCGTTTACCAAACCGTCTTCGGATGGACTGACACTGAAACTGCACAACACGGGCACAAGGATCGTGCCTTGAGGCACCACTTTGGTCAGTGATGCGTCGATTCGCCGCGGCCGCTGAAACGAAAGTGAAATCCGTGGTTAGGGTTTTCGCGGCCTGCTGGGGTTGTTGGCGGCTGCGCTCTCTCCCTGCGTCGGGGGTTGGGGTGCGTGCCCTCCGAATGCGGTCTCGTTTCGATATGTCGGTTCGTCGTAACACGCGCCTAGCGTTCGCGCGTTCGAATGCGGCGCGAGTCGCCGCGCCTCCTTCGGGCGTCGAGTGCTTGGCCTTGTCCTTGAACGAGGCCCATGAACCCGATTCGGAGAGAGTCGCTGTTGCCGCGACCACCATTTTTTTTGGACTATCTGATGCTGGGGCTACGTGATGCGTATGCGAATTATTCATCTTCGTCGTTGCTTTACTTAATTCGATTGACCTGCAACCTTTGCCGAGTTCTAGCAAAAAATTGCGGCTACCTATACACAAGCGCGTATCACAGCACAGTGTTAAGGCTATCCTAAATTTATTTCGGTCAATTGACAGAACAATGGTCTACAAACCTAGTTGACCCACAGCTGAATATTGGGGAAATAACTTACTTAAAAAACAATGAACAAAATGTCTACACGCTTATTCTGTAGACGAGTTCTTTGAATTTACAACTTAATTTATTCTGTGATTGTTTATTTACTTGTTTATCTGTTAGTCCTTCTAATTTAATGTGTGTTGTGGAAGATTTTTTAATACAAAATATTTTTTCTTGGGGAGTTGAGCTCCTAGTACCCTTAATTTTCTGCACCTTCATGGTAGGTAGTTGATTGAGGAAGAATAGAAGCTTCCTCAACACAACCGACATGTACTGAGGCTCGCAGGACCCTCAACTGCTTCAGTCCCATCTGACCCCCCCTCCAACTCCAACATGGAGAGAACTATACTGTCTCTCTGGTCATAATAATAATTTTTCGCTGGTGTTTTTTTGCCTTTTAAAATTTGAGCTTAAATATTATTCAATCAAACCAATAAGTTTTTGTTAGAAGTGAAGTTTTGAATTTACTTAAGAATTGGTCATGTCACATGTGACACACCACACACCCCTTAAATGTGTGAATTTATAGATAGGATTGATATTCCCCATCTTAATGAAATGTACGCAACTTATACCGTCGAATATTTCTAAAATTTCTGAAAAAAATATTAAAAATCCTATTAAGAAGTGTGGTTGTTTTTAGAAGAAAAAAACAATCTTGATGGTTTCCGACATACTTAACAATTTATTTTACTTATCTATGGAGTGGCAGGTTATAACATCCAGTAAATAATATTACAGTCCTTGGCAAAAGGTTCGTCAAATTTATTCAGCAAGTCCCCTTGATATTTCCGAATGATCGTGGATTTACAGATTGTTTGTATTAAAACACGCGAGTCATTTTTCTGTTAAAATAATTGCAATTGTGATTTACAATTGTGTGTTTGTCATTTAAAACTCTTTGCATTGTGTAGTTATGGCCAAATTTGAATAAATAAATAATAAAACAATAAATATACTAGTTATTTATTACACATTTATAACGATCGTGCCAAGGAAAGTGAATTAAATGTAAATGTTTATTGGTAATTAATATTCACTACAAATATTTTTAAATTTGCATCTTAAACCATCATTCAACCAAACTTATTTGATATGTGAATGCAAAATTCAAAAATTTAGAACGCTGTTATTTCAACATTTGTATTTATCACTCATGTGGAGCAAGTAAAGGCAAATATTTGATCAAGGTCAAAGGTTTATACAGTCGCGCCCTTACCTCAGTCAAATTATGCAGCACTACAGTAACATATTTTAGAAAAAATTTAGAAAATATTTCAAAATTTTCAAATTATTTTTAATGTTTAAAAGGTCTTTCTAGAAATAACTGAAAATGAAAATATTAAACATATTTGCCATGTGGCTCCATCAAACTAACCAAAACTAACCATAGCTAACATTCCGCTAAGAAAACAATTTCAATTTGAATTCGTCGATTTTAAGTGAAACAAAAACTTCCATTTTTTTCATTAGCAGTTTTATAAATAATAATATTATTTTTTCTTTAAATATTAAAAATGAAAACAAATTATAACCGTTAAAACATTTAGAGAAGCTATCTTTAGATTATTTCGCTGCTCCGGTATAGCAGTGAAACTGCAAAGAGCAAAATTTTTCAGTAGCCAAAAACGAAAATGAAATTTTGTTCTGACTGTTGTTAATTCGGCACATCGTTTTTAATAATACGAAATTGTTAAACGCGTTCGATCTGCTGGTCAACCACCATCGCAGCAAAGTTTGCATATGTATTTATTTTTAATAGTCCAATCCATTATTGACCCAAGTGGATATTGAAGACTTTTAATTGCAATCTGCCTTAAAAATAAAATGTACCGCACGTTTAGGACCAACCAGTATGTATCAACCTTTTTCAAATGAATATGTTTGGGTACGGTGTTATATTTGCTCATTTGCCTAACAGAGTTTTTAGAAAAACGATCGAGTCTTAGGAAGTAAATTCATAGCGATTTATCAGAGAACTAACCGATATCTCAAATGGTAAAGTTTGATTGTAGTTTTTATTTCGTTGATACCTTTAGAAAATGCTATTGCTTTTCCCAGTTTTTTGATAAGCAATGGGCATATTCATCGGTCATCCGGCGTGCAGATACAAGAAGAATTCGTTTGTGAATATTTTAAATCAATCGAGACGGCAACGTCGCACGAGTACGACCGGGCGTATCGATTGATAACGTGGAACGGAGAAAGAATGAAACCGGGAGACTCTTGATTGCGTTGGTTGGGGTCGTTGATGCTGCTGCTCCTGCTGCTGCGTCGGCATGCGTGTGCCTGCGTAAGTATTTGCGACTCTTTTTCACTTTCGTAATGCAAGCACAAGTCGATAAATTTTCTGGAGCTGCATTATTATACGCGCTGGTAACACATTTCAACCAACAATAATTAAATTAAATAAATATTTTAAATCCGTTTTGAAATATGTTTGGGCAGTGTTTAGGACCCCGATAATCGGCTCCGGGACTAGAAAATTTTGGTTTGCAATCTTCATACCTCGATACACTCTCAATCAACATTGACATCACTTGTAACTGTTTTTAGTAGTAGAAAATCCATGCAACTGAGCACCCAAAATATCTTAGCCACGCACCTATGCAACTATTCTAAATTAACCTTATTGCTGAGATAAATGTTGTTTAAAGTGAGTTCGTTAATACGATATCATATGATGATACTAAGCTCTGTTTAAAAATTGCGCGTGCAGCCTTGCAAAAATTTTTGCGACTTGTTTCGATTATTGCCAACGTTCAGCCGGGAAGGTCAGATATCACGAGATAACAGAACGTCACGGCAACCTTTTAGGTTCAAAAATTACCATAAAAAATGGCCGAGAGGAAACGATTATGTGGCTTAACAGGTGGTCGCACACATAGCTAATAAAAAATATTTTCTGCTCCGCTGTAGTCAGTCGAGCGTCAAGGAAATACAAAAAAGGAGCCAGACTAAGACAGAATGCATAGCATAGATGAAATGGTAACAGCTACGTTTTTCTTTGCATTTTCAATAATATGCTGTAAAGTAAATGTGTAATTACCATCAATTCTACTTTTGATAACGGAATATAATTATCATTCTGTGTTTAAAAGAAAAACATAATCAAATTACGATTTGCCTCGGGAACTTAAAACTATAACTCAGTCATCATATTTTCAGAACCTTAAAATATAAACACAGTGCAAGAATAAACGGAGTACGCTAATGCAAATCTAAAGAAGACCAATCTGGTGTGATTGGCACTCAAGAAGTTGGCATCGAACCTACCTCCTAACAACCTATAACAATGACATCCTACTCTTAAAGTCGAGAATAGCAGCAATTCTCGAAAAACTGCACGACTCTTTCTTGGAAAGTTTTGATAAATTTTTGAGCGCTTAACTAGGTAGGAGAGGTTTAATACTCAATATTTGCCACATTCCCAGCAAAATTCGTCTAAATAAATGCATAGACCCTTTTTTCTAAAATTTTTGTTTTTTATTCATGTATTTATCTCACTTATTAAATAACATACGGAATTCAATAACAAACCTAACAATTACAGTTTATTACAAAACAAAAATTGAAACAAAATCATAAATATTAAAAAAATAAACCTATTGTTGTGTTGTGACGGAAATTATCACAGAAAACTAGTTTTCCATAAAATGCTCCGTACATGCCTAAAACTTAAATTTAAATAATATTCTCCCTCTGTCTCTCTCTGTCTCTCTCTCTTTTTTTCTCTCCCGAAATGAAAAGCTATATAAGCTACCATTTAAAAAATTGATATATACATACACAAAGCGAGTCACCAGTTCACGAGAATAATAACTTTGAAATTGATCCAAATTTTAGTGGTGCGTTATATTAAATTATATAATTTTTAATGGAACAACGCTATATATAACCTGATCATCTAAGGCGTCATAGGGGTTAGACTAGCAAATATTTTTTCGAAATAAAAGGCATCTATAGTAGGTATAGCTTCTCGTGGGGAACAGAACATGATTTCGGGTATAATCAAAACCACTTAAATATATTATAAATTGTTGTGTTGCTTTTACAAGTTCAACAAATACAAATATTCTTTAAAACATATGAATGTTAATGTAAAAGTTTGTGCTAAGAGTAGGCATAACTTTGGGACCATATATCTCTTCGATTAAACATCTGGTAGCTCTATGTTTGGGACAGTTTAACCCATATATTTTATGGTTTTTGATTTTTTAAAGACTGTAATGGTGGTGTGAGGTAGGACACGAGAATGCTTTAACGAAACAATAATCATCAGCGCTTCATTTCGCATATTGTCATCTCGACGGAAATTCCGAAACAGCAAATCAACGAAAACAAACAGCATTATTAGATATTACATAATTGCATTACATTTGCGCCGTACGTGTTTTAATATTACACTAACTTTAGTTTGACTTTACGTTAGTTTACTAGACGATTTTTTTGTCACCAAAAAATCCACTTAGTTGTTTTATTTACTTTCCTCAAAAACTAATCAAGCATTCGATCAGGTACCTGTTCTCAAAGTAACTACACCTAATCGTATCGGCATCATCGATAAAAATGTCCAAATGTGAGATAATTTATTAACCGCGTCAAATTATCA